ATGTTTGATTAAATTCAGCAATGAAACCATCTGGTCCAGCCGTTTTGTTCTTAGGTAGTTTTTTTGATTACCAATTCAATTTCCTTGCTGGTAATTGGTCTATTCAGATTTTCTGTTTCTTCCTGGGTCAGCCTTGGAAGGTTGTATTTTTCTAGAAAGTTGTCCATTTCTTCAAGGTTATCCAGTTTGTTAACATATAATTTTTCATAGTATTCTCTAATAATTCTTTGTATTTCTGTGATGTCTGCAGTGAGTTTTCCTTTCTCATTTCTGATTCTGTTTCTGTGTGTAGACTCTCTTTTTTTCTTGATTAGTTTGGCTAGGCATTTATCTATTTTGTTTATTTTCTCTAAGAACCAGCTCCTGCTTTCATTGATTCTATTGTTTTATTCTTCTCAATTTTATTTATTTGTGCTTTAATCTTTATTATGGCCCTCCTTCTACTGACTTTGGGCCTCATTTGTTCTTCCATTTCTAGTTTCATTGTGAGTTTAGACTGTTCTTTTGGGATTGTTCTTCTTTCCTGAGGTAGGCCTGTATTGCAACATAGTTCCCTCTTAGCACGACCTTCGCTTCATCCCACAGATTGTGTTGAACTATTGTTGTCATTTGTCTCCGTATATTGCTTGATTTCTGCTTTTATTTGGTCATTCATCCATTGATTATTTAGGAACTAAGCCTCCATGTGTTTGTGGGCTTTTTTCATTTTCTTCTGTGTAATTTGTTTCTAGTTTCATACCTCTGTGATCTGAGAACCTGGTTGGTACAATTTCAATCCTTTTGAATTTACTGAGGGTCTTTTTGTGGCCTAGTGTATGATCTATTCTTGAAAATGTTCCATGTGCACTTGAGAATGTGTATCCTGTTGCTTTTGGATGGAGTGTTCTGTAGATGTCCGTTAGGTCCATCTGTTCTAATATGTTGTTCAGTGCCTCTGCCTCTTTATTTTCTGTCTGGTTGATCTGTCCTTTGGAGGAGTGGTGTGTTGAAGTCTCCTAAAATGAATGCATTGCATTCTGTTTCCTCCTTTAATTCTGTTTCTATCTATTTTGCAAATGTAGGTGATCCTTTGTTGGGTGCATAGATGTTTATAACAGTTATATCCTCTTGTTGGACTGACCCCTTTATCATTATGTAATGTCCTTGTCTCTTGTTACTTTGTTTTGAAGTCTATTTTGTCTGATACAAGTACCACAACTCCTGCTTTTTTCTCCCTACTAGTTGCATGAAATATCTTTTTCCATCCGTTTACTTTCAGTCTGTTTATGTCTTTGGGTTTGAAGTCTCTTGTAGGCAGCATATAGATGGGTCTTGTTTTTTTATCCATTCAGTGACTCTATGTTTTTTGATTGGTGCATTCTGACCATTTACATTTGATAATTGGGTAATTATTGATAGGTATGTACTTACTGCCATTGCAGGCTTTAGATTCGTGGTTACGAAAGGTTCAAGGGTAATTCCATTACTATCTAACAGTCCAATTTAACTCACTTAGTATGCTATTACAAACAGAGACTAAAGGTTCTTTTTTTTCCCCTCCTTTTTCTTCCTCCTCCATTCTTTATATGTTAGGTATCATATTCTGTACTGTTTTTTCTATCCCTTGGATGACATCTATTTAGCCTCAGGAATACTTCCATCTATAGCAGTCCCTCCAAAATGCACTGTAGAGGTGGTTTGTGGGAGGTAAATTCTCTTAGCTTTTGCTTATCTGAAAATTGTTTAATCCCTCCTTCAAATTTAAATGATAACCTTGCTGGGTAGAGTATTCTTGTTCGAGGCCCTTCTGCTTCATATCATTAAATATATCATGCCACTCCCTTCCAGCTTGTAAGGTTTCTGTTGAGAAATCTGATGAAAGCCTGATGGTTTTCCTTTGTATGTGATCCCCAATGGGTTTTTATTTCACTTCTGCTTTCTAATTTTATGTTTACTTTTGTAGTTTGATGGGTGGTTAAGACTTCCACAGTGTGATCAACAATCAACACTACTCTAGGAAGCTAGTGAATCAACTACTTAGATGATTAGATTGATATTACGGACAAAATGAAGACTTTAAAAGCAGATTACTTCCTGGCATAGTCAGTAGATCAAAAGGAACTTAAGAAAAGAGTAGGGTTTGAGGAGCAGAAAAGTCAAAGTCTCTACCAGTCAGAATCTGCTCCACTGCAGGGAATAGAAGCCCAATCCCAAACCAGCAGAACAAAGTTAACTATGCTATGTTAACTGGGGTCTAGGAGTACAGCTGGCTTTGGGCATGGCTGGTTTCAGAAGTTCAAACTCAACCATCAGGACAGTGTCCCAATTTCTCTTTGCTTCTTAACTCTGCTTTCCTCTCTGTTTTTATTTTTGAGCAGCTCAAGGCTTATTTTATCCTTACCATTAGCTACCCCAGAAAAGAGGAAGTGCCTTTTATCCAGGAGTCTGTGGGGTAGCTTGGATCATGTGATACCAACCCTAAACTGTGATTGAGGACATGAGGCAGTTTGGCTGGGCTTGGCTGAGGCAGGCAAAGGGTCATGCAGGTTCTTAGGAATCTGGTCTTTATCAGATGGTTGGGAGAAGGTCTGACAGAGGACAGAAGTCATAGCCACAACTGTCTGCTACATGAAAAGATCATGAGCAAGACAGAAACAAGAGGAGATACACTGAGGTGGTAATGAATAACCAGTGTGGAAGTTTCTATTACTTGACAGGCTGTGGTGAGGTTTCTGAGCAGGATGACAAACTGCCTGGAACTCCAAGTTAGGACAGTGTTTTGTCACCATTGTTTGCACAGATGTTATGTGGAGAGATAACAGGTGAGACTCACAAGAGCATAAATCAGAGGTAATGAAGCCCAGTCGGAGGTGATGGCAGTAAAAACAGAAAGGGGAGTTAGTCCTTCCAATGTGATACACTGATTCTACATAGAGGCAGGAGTCAACGATGGTAACAGCATTATGTCACCATTAGTAAAACCATAAAGTGAGGCAGAAGAGTCTATTTGGCAAAAATTTTGCTCAGAAATAGATATGCTGCTAAAAGGAGAGAAAGAAGGCAGGCAGCTGAAGAGGTGAGGTGAGAGCTTAAGAGAGAGGTCAGAGAAGAGGAATCTACCAAAGCTTGTAGTTGGTATCATGAGACTGCAGATCTATGAAGGTGAGTACATACAGGTGAGCAGTCAAAGGACAGAACTCTGGGGAACTGTGAAGTAGGCAACAGAGAAGGAAAAGGAACTTAGGATGATGACCTAGGAGGAGCAACTGGACACTGGGCAGAGGGAGAAGGCTGAACTCTCAAAAGGCAAACAGGAGGGAGTTCCATTCCCAAAGAGAAAATGAATTAGATCTCCATGTTCAACACTAACATTTTCAGTGGTCTCGGTATTCTCAGTTGAACTCACATCACAAACTAAGTTCAATGAGCAGCATTGAGGCTGAAGACTTGCAGCCTTCTGAGCATCAGTTATTTCTAACCTGCTCTATGTGCTATTAATTCAAGACCTGAGCTTCTTAGCATTAGTAACATTTTTGGGGGGTCCTCTCTCATTTTTCTAGAATAAGGACCAAGTATTAAATGTACAAGCACTGTTGTGTGGTAGACAACTAAACTGCTGACTGGAAGGCAGCATCACTATGATTTGGGGGCAGATGTACAAAATCTGAACTTGGCTCTTGAAAGGCTAGTTGGAGGTCTCCGTACAAAGTACACAAGTAGGAGCTGTATGATCATCAACATATTTAAGTTTGAAGCCAAAAGAGAAGACATTTTCAAGGTTTCTCCTTTATTCCAATTATTCCTTGAATTTTGGTAATTCCCAGGGTCTTATCTTCAATGCATTTTCAATGTATGCATTTAGGGTGATCTGTATGATCTCATCTTTGACTACATTATTTTCTGCCCCCAAACTACATATTTAGCTGCTAATTACATTATACCTCACAGGACTATAGTGTGTGGCTGTTCAGGCTGTTCTGCAGAATGTCACTGAAAGGGTATACAATAACATTGTAGATATCATTATTGTTTTGAAGTTAATGCAGAAATTAAAACTATTACAAAGTGTACAATCTGTATACATGGCAATCTTCTACCAGGTGGTAGTAAAGTCTGTCATTCTAATAAAAGTAGTGTATTACACTTACCCAACAGGAAGTGTTTTAAAGAAAAGGGACCCTTTCTGATGTGCACAAGAGCACATCACGTGTACTGTGGAGGCTCGACTCCACCAGGATGCTCCACGTGCATCTATACGACTATTTTCTGTTCAGTCTAGGTTCATAACAGGCCTCAAATCCATCCCTTCTTGTCCATTCTACTGCTACTCCCTGACTGCAGACACCCATCCTAATCTATTTTGTGTAGGCCATTGTTCATGCTTCCTAATCTCTGTCTCATGTTTTGCCCCACTCCAGTCCACTCTCCAGACTGCTGTCAGAATGATCTAAAATGACATGACACAGTGAATTTCCCTTTTTAATATCCTCTCATTGCCTACAGAATCAACTCACACTCCTGAATATGGCACCCTAGACTCTCCATGTCCTTCCCTCTGGCCAACCAGCCATTTACTACATACACCCTGTGTTCCAATAACACCAAAACCAGTGTCTGAAGCAGCTGCAGGTGCTTGTCTAGAACCTAACAGATTATCCAATGGGCTCCAAATCATCCTTTAAAAATCAACTCAATGGTCCCCTCATGAAATCTTCCCTATCAACCCAGGCAGAGTTAACCATAATCTCCTCTGTGCAGTGCTGAGCTAATTTTTACCTTTATTATTGCACTTCTCCCAGAGTTGCAACTACTTTTGCATGTCTATTATATTATGAATGAGTAGGCAGCTTAAGAGTATGGATTGCATTTTATCAGTTTATTTGCCCCTGGTACCTAACAGAGAACCAATGTGTTTTCATGACACTTAGCATAGTACCTTTTTGTCGACAGAATTGCAAGAGTAAATAAATGTGTCTAATGTTTCAGAGAAACCATGGAGGGTATATTTGATAATGGGAGAACGGAAGAGAAATTTAAATGTACTGAGAATATTTTCTATGTTGTTCTAGGCACTTTCTGTATGAGACCTTCACTTTTTAAGTGGAAAAACTTAAAACAGCGATAAGCCATATCTCATTTACTGTCCCCTTTACAGTATTGAGGAGTCTCCAAGAACACCTCTGCTAAGTTCTGCTCTTGCCCTCTGAGGCCTCTGCCAGTCTGCTGTGTTGGGACCTTTGTGGTTTCAAAGGGGGGTATTTCTGTGTTTTTGTTTTGTTTTGTTTTGCTTTGGTATTACATCCTCTGGGGAAGTAACAAACCAGTAATGCCTTAGATCTTAATAACATCTTAAAGGATTTTTTTGGTAAGAGCAACCTCTTTCTTCTCCCCTGTGACTTCTTAGTGCCTTCCTGTGATGAAGGTGGAGTCTAAAGAGGAGGTGAAGAAGTCAGACTGTGACATAAAAGTGAATGATTGGCACACTCCCAGCCTCGGAATCCCTCCTTATTGGCAATCGAGGCTTTGGCTTCTTTTCTCTGGACCACATTATATGTCTTATGCCTTCTTTTGCACCTCTGGTTTAGGAGAACTTACCAGTCTGAATTCTCGGAGTGAGCAGTTGAGGCTTATCCTGGGAGATGCCTTTCTTCCTTACCCTTGTCCCTGTGTAATATCTAGTTTAACCATCACTACAGTGTTATCCAGTAAATAGCATTCATATTTTACAGAAAGGAACACTAACTTTCAGAGAGGTTAACTTGCCCAAGGACATACAGCTAGATTTGGTGGTAATCAAGTGAACAATTTTCTCCTGAAGTAAAAAACAATGTTCAAGGTGGATGCATAAAAGGAAGGTGACTGGATTTCGAACTCAACTGGGGCTGTCTTCCAGAGCTAGTTGGGAATTTTGTTGCTAGCAGTCATACTAAGTCTCTACTGTTCTCTCCTCTTCCTTGAAATCTCAGGTTAACAACCAGATACTTACTTCACACAGAGAGTAACAGACCATATATGAGTATCAGATATATGCTTCAGGGTGAAAAAAGAGTTTTGAACAAAATAATTTTTAAAAATCTACTTGTGACAGATTCAGAAAGAAGACAGCTATTTTAAAAGCACATTATTGTATCTACATTCATAAATGTCACTGAAATCTGAAGATATTCTCTCATTAAACATTTATTATTTGTGGGAGTATAAAACTTGTTTTTCCTGTTTTTAAGTTTCAAGAAACCAGGCCTATATTCAATATAAATTGTATGTCATGAGATTATTCTTTACACTCATGATGAATCTAAATGTAAAGCTTCTCATCTAAGTTTTGGATAAAATATGTTATTTATATTTGAAGAACCCCAATATGCAGCTATACTGTACATGCCGTACAAGCAGGTTTCAGGAAACATTCCTGAAAGAACAAGGTCAAGTACTGAATGTAGATACATGGGATTGTTTGTATTTTTGTATACAGAAAACTGCCAGTGATTTACCAAAGCAATGAGGAGCCAATATGTGGACCTAGAACTTAGATAGTTAATGACTGTATTTCAGTAGGTAAACAAATCAGAATAAAACTTTAAAAGAATTACCAAAGAGTGCTGAAAAGCAGTGACCCATCAAGGACTTAACACACTCCAGTGATACTTCATCAGAACTAACAACAAGAAGGAAATCTGTTAACTACTCAAACTTTTAAGCCTACAAGAACTGTATCTTCAATAGCTTTAATTTTGTTTTGCAAGTAAGAAATATTGTGTTTAACCTTGCTTATATTAAGAAGCGTGAACTTATTCTTCATCAAATTAAACGTAGCAAGCATTTCTAAAAATTAAAATCAGCTATTTAGTGTTATAATTTTTTCCATCAACTGAAAAAAAGGTCTTGAAAGTTTAACATAATGCAACTAAGCACATGTGCCACATTACACTGGCTATGGAGCGGCAGATACAACCAAGGCTCTGACTCTCATTCCTGTCTACTGGTACAGACATGGTCAGACAACCTGAGGGATTAGGTAAACTAAGCTCCTGCCCATATAAATTATATGGTAAAAGATCATATGCCCAGGAGGCAACTATTGCAGAAGTATTTTAGAGTTAATACATCTAAACTCTGAAAATAGTTATGCAGATAAGTCAAGTCCCAGATTTCAGAAAAATGACAATGCTGATGTGTTTTAATTACCTGCTACCTAACTGGTCTCAGTTTAACAGAGATAAGAATGTAGAAGAATTATTTACTATGGGTCCAGGGCACTTGAATATTAATCTTGGAGCTCCAGCAAGCAAGCCCAGGCTCCCCTATTTAGAAATGAGGATTTACTGTTTCTACTGGCCTTTCAATGCATTTGCTTTAGAATCATAAAAATGAAAAGCAAAGATTTGCTTATTTGCTCAAATAGCAATACTGTGGAACATTGCTCTCAATCTCCTCCCACCCCAGGTACCATTTCCATCATGAGGGAATAATGTTTACATGGGTCCGATGCTCTCAAAAAGTCCAGATTTCACACTGCAACAAGATACAAATCAACTTGCATTATACACATTTTCTCAGTCCCCGTGTAAAGTAATTCCATCCCTAGAATAATCACATTTACTGGACACTTACTAATGGCCAGGTACCTAAGTGCATGGCATCTTTAAATTCATTTAATCCCCCAAGGCATACTCTGAAGTAGATTAATTACTATGATCTTCACTTTATATATGATGAAACAGGCACACAAGGTTTAACTTCTCAAGGTTACACAGTCAGTAAATGGCAGAACTGTGATTTGAATGTAGATAATCTGGTCTCAGGGCCCTTAACATACTGTTTTGAGAATGCACAGGAGAAAACATTATGTTAAAAAATTCATTATGAACCATTATGAAAATATTGTAAAAAAATCATGGAGATAATTTGCTCTAACATACTAAGTCTATTATTTGAAAACAATCTTGTTATTGAAATGCATCTCACATTGATGGACTCACTAGATCTTCACAGAACTCCAGTAATACCTAAGAACCTAAGACAATGTCTTAAATGACCCCAATAACCAATTGGTGAAAATGGCTTGAAAACTTACTGTTTCCTATGCAAAATTATGTAAAGTGAAAACTTTGCTTTTCCATTAATTTTCAGTAAAATTTTATTGCCAATTTTTTTCTGTATTACTAGCCTGAAGGTCTTTATGTTATGACAACTGATTATTGTACATTACAATGTTACCAACAAATCAAAAATTCAAATCCTGAAGTTCCTTGATGAAAAAGAAAAACTGAAAAGTCAAACAGCTGGCCTAAGCTTACAGGACTGTGGTAAAGCCAGACATAGCTTCAGCTTTTGATGGAAAAGCTACTTACTACTCTAGTGAGTAAGGTACACTGGTTTGAAAAACTAATTAAAATTAATTAGAAGTTTCAAGTACCTCAGATATAAAATCATTCATTATGTAAGAGGTACTTTCAAGGTGAATTAAATTTTTAGTACCTGAACTAATTTAGCCTCTTAAATGTCTGCCTTTTCTCACAGAATGTATCAACAGCAGAGAAATAGTTTATGAATTGCAATTTATATAGCTTTATGAGTGACATTAAAAAATTCAAAAAAGCCATTTTCACCAATTGGGTATTTGGAGTCATTTAAGACATTGTTTTAGGTTTTTAGGTATTACTGGAGTTCTGTGAAAATCTAGTGAGTCCATCAATGTTCTATTAAAAGGTGTATCAGAATGCAATGGATAGAAAGATACATCAAATACAACTTTATAAAAAAATGGTCTGAGTGTTTGTGTCCCCCTGAAGTTCCTATGTTGAATCCTGCTACCCCAATGTGGTGGTGTTTGGAGGTGGAGCACTTGGGAGGTGAGTCAATCATGAGGACGAACCTATCATAAATGGGATTAGTGCATTTATAAGAGAGACCTAAGGGAGATCCCTTGCTCTTTCTGCCATGTGAGGTTAGTGAGAAAACAGCTGACTTTGAAGAAGCAGGCACCTTGATCTTGGACTTCCCAGCCTCCAGAACTGTGATAGTCTGCTATTTATAAGCCACCCAGTCTATGGTATATTGTTACAGCAGCCTGAACAGACTAAACCAACTGTTATATTCTGAGAGAAACTATGACAGGCAGCTTTATTCCTCAAAATGTAATTTAGTTCACCTTTGAAATACACAAGTATGATTCCATTTCAAAATACCCTGTTTTAAAAACATCCTCTCTATAAATGGTTTAAAGTCAAGCAAGCAATGCCATCTGCAGGGAACCTTCAGAACAACAGTCATATGTCTATGACCCACTCTCTTCTTTAAATGAATACAGTATTGATATTCTGAGTTAATATCATTTGGCAGCATTTAACAAGGAAATTTTCAAGAAGGGTTAAGAAAAATTTAAAATACATGCTGTGTAAAAAAATCCCACTAACAATCATTCTGTATTATTAATATTTCTTGACATAATTAAAAATAACCTAACTTCACTCCCAACTTCACCAAATATATGATCCACAGGCCCTTCATTATGAACTATATAGCAAGTTAAGCTTCAAAGCTATGCAACCTCAAAGACCTTTAAAGTTATAACTCACATCACTGAGGACTAATTTGTTAACAATTTTTCCAGCTGTTGAATTTGCCTTTCCTTTTGAGTAGCGTCACTTGTGCCTTCTCAGCCCAATTCTCTAAAACAGTCAGTTTCTGTCCTGTTTATTTTGAAATCTCTTACATCATAGAAGATTCCACATTGGATTCACAGCTCTTTCCCTCCCTATGTAGTTACAGGTCCATTCTAATCACAATTTGTTTTTATTTCTCCTCCCTTTGCTCTCTTCCCCTTGAAACATAGATGCTAGAAGTTGCTTATTGCAATGGTACTCAATTTAGGTTAAACATTAAAACCTTGTGGAGCCCTTTAACAAAAACGCCAAGTTTCTGATTTAATTGGAACTGGGATAGGGCCTGAATATGGCTTTCATATGCTTTTAATTTTCTAGGCAACCCTATGTGCAGCCTAGTTTGAGAAATACCACCTTACAGTGGGGACTGATTGGCTGTAACTGTATTTTTCTAAGTGGCCTATGGGTTTCATTGTGCAGAAGTAATGCCCCAACTTGCCTGGAAGACCAGAGGCTTGTTCTTGAGCATCCCCTGTAACTGGCAGTCTCTTAGGATTTGAGAATTGACCATATTCTGGTTGGCCTTTAGCTTGTGGCGTCACACTTGACTCATCTTTTTGTTCCTGCCTTTTAACCTCCCCATGTTACTGCAGAAGTCTTCTAGCCCCCAACTCTCAGGGTGGCAGGATCCATCTTCCTTACCTGACACTCCACACCTCTCCAATTCCATTCCCATGCTCTGGAATAAAACAACAGATGTACGTCTTTGCTGGGTAAATACAAATCCACCTAGGTGGAAAAAACGCTGGTCTTTCCTTCTTGGAATCATGGCCTCCCTACCATGTTTTCTGAGTGCAAATGCATCCTTTTCCCTCCCTCATGAGAGCCCAAAGAACTAAATTCCATTCCCCAACACTGCACTCCTCCAAATGGAAACCTCGCCCAGATTCCCCCAGCAGTCTGTGGAATGGTGGTGACAGGACATGTAATATGAACTGCCATCCCTCAGTAAGCCCTGCAGTGCTCATCAGTCCTAACCACCTGTGGTTGTCTGATCTTAAAATGTGAGGGCCTTTGAACCTTCAGTTCGGCCTTATTCCAGAATAGGAAAAAAAAAAGCCCACTTGACTCTTACAAATATGTTAATTCTACAGTCACTTAGGTCAGTTCCCCAGAAGAAGATGATGAATGTATATAAGTAACTTCTTCAAGCAAGTGTTAAGGAGTGGGCCTAGGACAGGGGAGGGGAGGAAGCACACACAAACAAGGGTATGATTTTGGTGAAGTTGCACAGCAGTAGACCTCAGCCTGACCCCCCAGGGATTTCTGGAGTATAAGATGCACCTACCTGTCCAAGGTAAAGGAGCTGGGCTTTCATACAGGAATGCCAAGGGGCACTTCAGGCCAAAGACCCACAGGTACTGTATATTAGAAGTACAGTGAAAAGGGAAAGAGGGTGAAAAGGGATCTGAGGAATATGGGTGGACTACCACAGCTGGTCAATGTCAAACTTTTTTATAAGTTTCACTTTACAGAACATGCTAGAAATTGGTTGTTTGTCCTAAGACTTCACTAGTAATAGCTGGTGCTACCTTAAACGAAGTATTATCTATCTAGGTTACATTAACTGCTTAATGAAATGCTAAAGGCAGTGTGAACAAGTATTTTGAAAAAGAACAGCAAAACTAACTAAAGATCGAAGGAAGCCTGAAGGAAAGAATGGTTCTTTTGACTTTGATACTTGATTTCTCTATATGGGGCTGCTTTTGCTCTTGCTGGAAAGCAGTCACCTATATTATGTTATCTCTCAAATATCTCTGAAAAAAGTCCTAATAAGATCTCAAAAACAATGTTTAACACATAAAATGTGCCACCTAGCACAATGTCTGTAAGTACCAGAATTCCATCCAGTTACTATTACTCTTTGGAACTGGTGTGACTAAAGTCCTTGACAGATCACTCTGTGAGCATATGATTATCATAACACAAAACAGCAACAACACAGAATCAGAACCATTTGTTAAATGTATGCAGAAACTACATTTGTAGTTACTTAATAATCTTTCTGTTTCACGTGAACAAGTTAATGCCAGTGATTTTAGAAACATCTTCCTGGAAGATATATATGAGAAAAAGTACATGAGCCTAAAACTGGGTTTTTTATTCTCCATCCTTAAGTGCTAAATTTTGTAAAGAAACTGTTCCCCCTCCCAATCTCCTGACTTCTTACTTTCATTCCTACCAACTCACTACAGTGTAACTCACATAGAACTACGTGCTAACTCACATAGACATGATGAAGGAAAAGAATAATAGTTTGGCAGATGTGAGTATACAAAATAGTATTTTCAGTTTTTTTTTAAGTAAAAGAACATTTAAGTATGAAAGTTGTTTTAAAATTAATGAATTGGAGGATACGTATGATAAAAACCATTGCATAATTATGTTAAAATGAAAACCTTTTAAATTTACCTATCTTGAAGACAAACTATAATTTACTGGTTTGATATTAAACATTATTATATAGTACTAGATATCTCCCTCTAGAAATTAGAACAATTTATCTCTAGTTTCCAGAAAACACACCGAGTTAACCATGCTGCTTCACTGTTTTTATAGTGAATACCTGTTTTTATTGGAGAAGTGACTGATACACGTGTTTCTTTTAAGCAGAACTTGATGCTGACTTAAAATAAACTAAATTGGATTTCAGGCCCATTGGAAGGCAGGCAGGTAGTCAATCATTTTTCAAGTTGCAGGTGGCCAGCCCATGGTAGTTGTCATTTGTATATTGGATCTCTAAGGACATGCTGGAAAATTTGTGAACACAATCTTCCTGTGCTGTATTCACATGCTCCATTTACATCTTTGGCTTACCCATATTGTTAGAGGCTTGGGTAAGATGACTAAAGATTTCATGATGGAAATTTCTATAAGAAAAAAAATGGTAACTTTAAAGGTTGACTTTTTATCACAAATTAAGTATTTACTGAGTACTTAATACTAGGTTATATGCCTAGTAATGGCTAAATGCCATTTAAATGAACAACCATGCATAACAGTTAGAGGTTGTTCTTTGCTGATACCTAAAGCACAAAGAAAAAAGATACACTGGACATCATAAAAATTAAAAACCTTTGTGATTCAAAGGACATACTACCAAAAAAAAAAAAAAAAGACAATGCACAGAATGGGACCAAGTATTTGGAGGTCATATATCTGGTAAGGGTCTACTATCCAGAATATATTAAAAAAACTCATACAAATCAACAGGAAAAAGACACAATTTAAAAACAGGCAAAGTATTTCTGTAAAGATATACAAATGGCCAATAAGTATATGAAAAGATATTCAACATCACTAGTCATTAGAGAAATGAAAATATAAACCACAATGAAATACCACTTTGCACCTAAGGTGGCTATTATCAAAAAGATAGACAATGGCAAGTGTTGGTAAGGATATGGAGAAATTGAAACTCTTAGCCATAGCTGGCAGGAATGTAAAATGGTATAGTAGTTTTGGAATACAGTTTGGGAATTCCTCAAGAAGTTACACACAGAGTTCCTGTATGACCTAAACTCTACTCTAGGTAAATACCGAAGAGATTTGAAAACATATCACACAAAAATATTTACATAAATCTTCATGGTAGCATTATTCATTCAGTAAAAAGTAAAAACAACTAAATACCCATCAAATGACTAATGGATGGACAAGGAGTATTATTCAAATACAGAAGGAATAAAGTACTGATGCATGCTATGACATGAACCTTGAAAACACTGCTGAATGAAAGCCAGACACAGGAAACCACATAGTATGTAATTTCATTCATATGAAATATTCAGAATAGACAAATTCAGAGAGAACTAGATTGGTGGTAGCCAGGGGTTGCAGGAGGCAGCAATAGGAAGTGACTGCTAATGGGTATGGGATTTCTTTTTGGGGTGATGAAAATGTTTAAAAGCAGAGAGTGGTGATGGTTGTGCAACTTGGTGAATATACTAAAAACCACGTAATTGTAAACTTTAAAGGGTGAATTTTATGGTATGTGAATATTAATTAAAAAAAAAGAAATGAATCTAAGATCTCAAAAACAATGTTTAACACATAAAATGTGCCACCTAGCACAATGTCTGTAAGTACCAGAATTCCATCCAGTTACTATTACTCTTTGGAACTGGTGTGACTAAAGTCCTTGACAGATCACTCTGTGAGCATATGATTATCATAACACAAAACAGCAACAACACAGAATCAGAACCATTTGTTAAATGTATGCAGAAACTACATTTGTAGTTACTTAATAATCTTTCTGTTTCACGTGAACAAGTTAATGCCAGTGATTTTAGAAACATCTTCCTGGAAGATATATATGAGAAAAAGTACATGAGCCTAAAACTGGGTTTTTTATTCTCCATCCTTAAGTGCTAAATTTTGTAAAGAAACTGTTCCCCCTCCCAATCTCCTGACTTCTTACTTTCATTCCTACCAACTCACTACAGTGTAACTCACATAGAACTACGTGCTAACTCACATAGACATGATGAAGGAAAAGAATAATAGTTTGGCAGATGTGAGTATACAAAATAGTATTTTCAGTTTTTTTTTAAGTAAAAGAACATTTAAGTATGAAAGTTGTTTTAAAATTAATGAATTGGAGGATACGTATGATAAAAACCATTGCATAATTATGTTAAAATGAAAACCTTTTAAATTTACCTATCTTGAAGACAAACTATAATTTACTGGTTTGATATTAAACATTATTATATAGTACTAGATATCTCCCTCTAGAAATTAGAACAATTTATCTCTAGTTTCCAGAAAACACACCGAGTTAACCATGCTGCTTCACTGTTTTTATAGTGAATACCTGTTTTTATTGGAGAAGTGACTGATACACGTGTTTCTTTTAAGCAGAACTTGATGCTGACTTAAAATAAACTAAATTGGATTTCAGGCCCATTGGAAGGCAGGCAGGTAGTCAATCATTTTTCAAGTTGCAGGTGGCCAGCCCATGGTAGTTGTCATTTGTATATTGGATCTCTAAGGACATGCTGGAAAATTTGTGAACACAATCTTCCTGTGCTGTATTCACATGCTCCATTTACATCTTTGGCTTACCCATATTGTTAGAGGCTTGGGTAAGATGACTAAAGATTTCATGATGGAAATTTCTATAAGAAAAAAAATGGTAACTTTAAAGGTTGACTTTTTATCACAAATTAAGTATTTACTGAGTACTTAATACTAGGTTATATGCCTAGTAATGGCTAAATGCCATTTAAATGAACAACCATGCATAACAGTTAGAGGTTGTTCTTTGCTGATACCTAAAGCACAAAGAAAAAAGATACACTGGACATCATAAAAATTAAAAACCTTTGTGATTCAAAGGACATACTACCAAAAAAAAAAAAAAAAGACAATGCACAGAATGGGACCAAGTATTTGGAGGTCATATATCTGGTAAGGGTCTACTATCCAGAATATATTAAAAAAACTCATACAAATCAACAGGAAAAAGACACAATTTAAAAACAGGCAAAGTATTTCTGTAAAGATATACAAATGGCCAATAAGTATATGAAAAGATATTCAACATCACTAGTCATTAGAGAAATGAAAATATAAACCACAATGAAATACCACTTTGCACCTAAGGTGGCTATTATCAAAAAGATAGACAATGGCAAGTGTTGGTAAGGATATGGAGAAATTGAAACTCTTAGCCATAGCTGGCAGGAATGTAAAATGGTATAGTAGTTTTGGAATACAGTTTGGGAATTCCTCAAGAAGTTACACACAGAGTTCCTGTATGACCTAAACTCTACTCTAGGTAAATACCGAAGAGATTTGAAAACATATCACACAAAAATATTTACATAAATCTTCATGGTAGCATTATTCATTCAGTAAAAAGTAAAAACAACTAAATACCCATCAAATGACTAATGGATGGACAAGGAGTATTATTCAAATACAGAAGGAATAAAGTACTGATGCATGCTATGACATGAACCTTGAAAACACTGCTGAATGAAAGCCAGACACAGGAAACCACATAGTATGTAATTTCATTCATATGAAATATTCTGAATAGACAAATTCAGAGAGAACTAGATTGGTGGTAGCCAGGGGTTGCAGGAGGCAGCAATAGGAAGTGACTGCTAATGGGTATGGGATTTCTTTTTGGGGTGATGAAAATGTTTAAAAGCAGAGAGTGGTGATGGTTGTGCAACTTGGTGAATATACTAAAAACCACGTAATTGTAAACTTTAAAGGGTGAATTTTATGGTATGTGAATATTAATTAAAAAAAAAGAAATGAATCTTACCAAAAAAAAGTCCTAATTGCTAGGAAACATAAAGTCTTTATATCTCAAAAAGAATTCTACTTTTCAAACTATATAACAGCTTCAGCTAATACTGGATCCCTTAAAGCATAAAACATTTTTTTATTTATCTTTGTGTCTCGCACCATGCCACATAAAATTTAGTTAATCTGAATTAGTAATCCCACCACTCATCTTTCCTTACAGTCCTAACACCTAGTCTCGTCCCAAATACACAAATTATTTGTTTTTGGCTAGAATTTACATAATCAGAGAACTTCATCATGAGCAATTTCAATCAAAGCAAAGAATATAGACACAAGTGGGGCTTGTTAAATTTAGCATCCTTAATTTCTAAAACTGAACATGTCCTTGCCTTATACCAGTCACACACAAAAAAGGTACTGGGATACAAAAATGGATGAGATATAATTTTTTGCTCCTACAGGCTCAAACTCTAGGCATCACAGAGGTAACTTGTGTAAAATTTAATTGTTACTAACAGTTAAAGGAAGCAATCAAAAGGGAATGTATATAAATTCTATTTAACTGAGTGCATTTTTCTTCACTGGACAGATTTGCCTTGTTCTAGTTTACTTTGACTGTTAAAAACAATCTGAATGGTTGTGGAATGTTCAGAAAGGCTGGAAAATGCATTTTAAAATCTGTAAGTGATAACAGAAACATAAATAGCTGAGTTACTTGTCTGAGGTACTGCCCAATTATAAAGCTATATAACTGGCAACTGAAGAGGACATTTGTAAAAGAAGCCTGCTTTATTTCAGAGGAAGAACCCAAGACCAAATAGTTAAGTGATCTTAACACTGAGAGTTAGCGCCTGAGTCTAGTGAATCATCATACCTGTTTCTCCACAACAAAATCAACATCTACACCACACATTAGCTTAGAAACCATGCCTAGGTAATGAAATCTCAGGATGAAGATTTGGTAGGTATTTACCGATTTTTTCTTTTTGATGTATAGAATATGAATATCTTCACTTCGATATTCTTCATCATGCTTTTCCAAAGGAATTTTTTCAAAGTCAAAGTCTAATTGAAGGAGCTATAAATTGAAAAGAGATACATCTTCAAATTCAATTAATATGAACTGTTTTATGGTGACAGAAGTCTGAAAGTCTGAATGATGAAGTAGTACAGACTGGGAAGGGGCACAGGAGGCCTCTGAGGTCCTAAAAATGTTCTTTATCTTTATGTTGGGTAGTGATTACTTTGGTGTCTACACATGAAAAATTGAGCTGAGCAGTTGATATGTGTGCATTTTACATAAGTTGTAACTCAACTGACACTGTTTAACAGTAAAAAAAATTTCAATTATAGTTTCAAAAGTTCAGTAACATTCTTCATATTCAAGAAAAACTGTAAAAAAACATTTTAGTATATGTATGAGGCAGTGTCATATATTTGCTTTCTCATTTAATCAATGTCATTTTTGGTAGTTTTGTAGTTTTATCAGTGGATAAATTTCAGGGCTATATATATGTGAGGAGTCATTTGTAATTTTCATGGACTTATGAACATAAAAATGGTTTGGCTGACCACTGGTGGAAGATGGGTGAAGGATACATTGGATACTATGTGCTACTTTTGAAACTTTGAGTTTTTATTTCAAAATAAAAGGTTAAAGAAAACCCTGAAAATAGTTATCTTGGTCTAACTTCCATAAAAATGTAGAGGAAAACACAGACGTAAAACCTATCACAAATCATGTTTGTATGATATATTCTCCAAGAGTAATATATACATCATTAAGATAGTCCCCAAAGCTATCATGTTTAATGAAGAAATGTTCTCAGAACAGACAAAGTTGTCACCATTAACTACTTTCTGTTTTTCTCTAGCTACTAGATCATATAAAAAGGAGGGGTGAGTTTAGTAGAAAGGTGGGCTATAAAGGATCCTATCTGGGGTTCACACAGGCAGAATGCTTTCCCCACTCAGTTACCATAATATACCTGAATACAGTCATACAGAGCCTCCCTGAAGGGTAATCACTACAGAAGAGTACTCACCTCAAAATATTTTTTCTCAATTTCTGGATTTTTTCCCATTGTTCGTTGTTCATAACAACATATAATACAAGTCTCAAATCCACTAAGATCTTTTAGGGTTTTCAATAATGGCTCCAAAGACTGTTCAAAAAGGAATACAGTATTTACGACTTTTTAAATTTTTGTATTTTTACTATAAAAGGGAGTAGGGGAAATGGGAAGGGGCAATTATTACTCCCCTCCAATTTATCCATCTTTGAATCAATCCAACAAAATACATGTAGTTACAGCTCATTAACTAATGACTGGCAAACTCCTCAACAAAACATTGTTTTGACTTCAGTTTCCAGAGAAAGGATTCAAGTGACTGCATTTCAGTTCCCCACAGGAAAACAAATGGAACTGACTTCACTCTTAAAAATTCTATTTAATCTAATTTACTTGGGATTTAAACAATTAGCAAGTCACCTACAAAAGCAAGTCTGACCCTAACCTGAACATAAACTGACTCAATGATCATTATTACAAAGTGAATGATGCCCACAATGCTATCTATATAAAGTCATATCTAAAAAAAACTCATTCTGAGTCAATCCTTCCACAGAACAAATAACTTTTTGCAATGCAACTCAATTCTCAATGTCATGGTTAATATGTTCACTAGGAACATTTAAGTAAAAAAATGTAATTTTTGGTTTTCATAACAGATCTGAATGGCAAAATCCTTTAAAAATTTTACAGAAATCTCTAGTAAAATGCTCATAACACTTTTTCTCAACAGGCTTCACAGGCCTATACGTTAATCATGAGTGTATATGTATATAGGTAGTCCTCGGTGGCTTTTATTTTCTCTTCACTGTGTTATCAACTGTAGGACAAATATCCCGTATTCAGAGATGTTAAAATGTAAAAAAACGTGTGCTTTGGGACCCACCAAATACAGTATATCTTCTAAAGAAAGAGACCTCACTCGCTGAATACTTACCTCTTCATAGTATATGCAGTCAGCCATCAGTATGTAGTCTGGCGGAGAAGTAAAGTCCTCTATTTCTTCCCCCCTTAAAAATGTCAATCAAATATTTTATCTGTTGCTTTAATGACTTAAAAATTTTACCAACAAGACTAATAAAGTCCCCTTCGTATTAAACATGCTTTCAGTGAAACGAAATTTAAAGCAAAATACAAATCATTATCTTAAAACAAGCTTAAAGGCCATACAAACCATTTCAGTACCTTGGCTTGAACAGAACCAGTGACAAGATGCTTGTTCATATTAATATTCATCTTCAGCAAGTCTTGTAATTCCTCAAGATCGGTGACTACAACATCTGCCCTATAAAATAACATCAACTGAAGTGTAGGCACACGGGTGGGTAGCCTGTGATCCAGGTTTCTCGAACAAAGCGGCGCCCCATCCCGCCAGCTCTTACCCGAGGGTAGCAGCCATGAGCCCCACTGCCCCGGTACCGGAGCCCAGCTCCAGCACCGACCGCCGGCAAAGAACGTGGGTCCCATCGCCGGAAAACCCGGGCGTTTCCAGGTATTTAGAAAGTACAATAGCAGCGTCCCAAACAACACAACCTACGCCTCCGGAGCCATACTGTTGCAGTCGTAATACTGTGCCATCTCGCTTCTCCAAAATTCGCACAAAGTTCTGCAGAGGGTCCTCCACGGAGGACTCCGGGGCTGTCGCCATCGCTGCCCGGCAACAGAATGCGGCGCACGCAATGACGTCACTACCAAGCGCACCGCCCTGCGGCCCCGCCTTGCGAGGGGCCCGGCACCTCCGGGGGGCGGAGTTGGCACCACGGCGCGTGCGCGAAGGCCGAAGGCCGGAAGGCAGTGTTACCTGGGCGTAGCCAGGAGTAGGGCCGCCGGCTTCCGCTAAACGGTGGATATACACGCTCCTCTAAATTTAAAGTCTGGTTTAACAAACAGTTTTAAGTCACTCTTACACAGAGAACTAATATCATGATCTGTTCTTTAAAAATAAAGCCATCCTTACCTGGTTGTGGAGATCGCTTGTCACAGTAATTAGCCTTAAATCCAGGCAGCTTCCAAGGTCCTACCCAAGGAAGGCTATAATCCTTTCCTGGCATGTTCCTAATTTTTCATCTGGATTTATAAAAGCAATTGCTGGAAGCTTGATAACTGCGTTTAACTGAAGACAAAGTTATCCCTCAAATTTACATTAAATTCTTTGGGATTGTGTAATTTGCACAAAATGCTGAAAATAATGTGTACATATATATATTTCTACATAACAATCTCCCCCCTTGTTCCTTACAATGAACACCCGTATTTTAAAAGTCTTTTAAAAATTAAGACTGGGGTGATTTATTAATCTTGTTAAGAACTCTGATACAAAGCACAGTAAAAGGCCACAGACCAGTCAATAGATAACGTGGCTTTTAGCTTCTTTACAATTGCTGCTACAGCACTATCAGCAAAACACTTTCCATCAATTTCAACGAATGAGTCCAAATGGCTAAAGTTTTACTTCTCTGATTAAAAAGTTTAATAAAGCTTTAAGTATTTGCTGGTTTAAATATTACCAATTTAAAAAAATATTTTTAAAAAATTTTAGTTAACACAAGATTTATAAAGTTACTAGGTTTTGAAGGCAAGGTAGTTGGTTCCTATGCCATAAGAAACTTTTCCTCTTAATTTTTTAATTAGTAAATAAAATAGCAGATTGTATTATAGGCCTCAAGTCACTTAAATCTCTATAGGGTATTAGCAGTTATCTTTAAATATACAATATAAACAAAACTGTACATACATGGCATATTAACTTTTTTTTCCAAAATAATAATCAACTCATTAGCTAAAGACACCTAGTCTGCAAAAACAAAAAGGCACATCTGAATGAGATACATGCCCTTTTTCCCTCTTATGATTAGGTTAGGTAGTCTTTGTTTACATTTTGACAAACAATGCATTCTATTATTTTCATTCTATTTTTCATTTTTGTCTTCAGCAGCAAATTCTGACATTTAAGACATGGCATTAAAGAGTTTAAGAACAATGGGTATTATTCATAATTTTAAATGTAAAAACTAAAAGTAAAAACTAGAAGATAGGTTTAAATAGGTTTAAAAATCCCTAACACCATACACCCCCAATTGTGTAAATTCATTGCCTTAAAAAGGCATCTATTACTCAAATTTGAAAAATTCCACAATGCACTATCCCTTTTCAGTGCAATCAATGTCGCTTTAAACCATTATTTTAGCAGATTCTACAGTGCAAATATAAATTCTTTATACTGGCCTTTTGGCAGCACTGAAGATCCAAGACAAAGCAATGCTACTGATCACCTGAGGAGAACAGTAAAAGACTTGTATTTTTATTTTCCAATTTTTAAAAGCTTATTTGATCAGTAGCATTTTTGTAAGAGCATTATTTGTAAAAAGTACTAAAATATTATGCCTTTTCTTGAATAAATTAAAAAAAAAACCTTTACAAATACCATTCCAGTGTCAATGACTACATATGGCTAAAGTCATTGAGGAGTTTCTGCATTTTCCAGCAAAGGCAGTCTATACGATGGGGGGTGCGAAAGCTCCCGTTTGTAAGTCTTTGGTGGCAGTTTTGGTAGGTGAGGGCTTGAATTCTGCCTTGGTGGAACAGGAGGAGCTTGAGGATGAGCAAGATTATTGTGACTAGAACTGAGCACATAGCATCGACGTGGTATCCTAGGAGAGGGTGTGCTAGGAGGAGTATTTGGCGAATTTGGACATGTACTGATATCTCTGAACCAATCTGGATCTCTGTGAAGATGTCCCAGTGGAGGCAGCTGAAGATTAAACGGACAGTTTATAAAGTGTTCTGGAGGCCGAAGGGGAACCGGTGGAGGGGTATCCGGAAGAGGATCTCTTGGTGGTGGTGGAGGTGGACTGTGCAGAGATGCATCAAATGAACCAGTAGGAGCAGGAACTCTGGGTTTTACCTTTGGAGGGGGAGGTTGTCTTGGTGGAATAGCTGGGGGATCATCATCAGATTTCAGATTTCCCTCAAAAAAAAAAAAAACCACATAATTCAATTATACCTCTGTTCTCATGAAAGATCTGTAAGAAAAAGTTTTGAAAAAACTGAAAAATTCTTATATGTCAAGTTAAATCTAGAGACTCAATTGATTAAAATAGGTTAATTTGGTTTAATGATCAGGTTAATGAATAAATTGTTTCCAGTTTAATTCAAAGCCCAGTTATGATTTTTATATGTGAGATGTTTTCATGGAAATCTTAGAACATAATGTCTCAGATTTCAAAATTTCAAAAATTTATGCATTTTAATCCTAATAGGCAAGTGAGTGAAAAGGATATATATGTAGCTCTGTAGATACTAAAGGACATGATGTCAAGGGGACTTAATGCTTTCTGGTCTCCTTTCTCCAGGGAGGCTTAGAATGGTGGTTCTCAAAGTGTGATCCAGGGACCCGTAGCATTGACACCAGTAGGGACCTTGACAGAAATGCAAATTCTTAGGCCCCACCCAGACCTACAGAATCAGAAACCCACAATCTGGTTTTAACAAGCCTTCTACAGGATTCTGATGCAGCCTAAAGCTTAAGAAGCACCGGCTGAAAGTCTGAAAAATGGTTTGAATACTAAAGTTCTTTCTACGTCTACCAGAAACAAAATGTGCTTCTGAGTATCTGTGAATCTGACCAGTATGTTTTTTAGAAAAAGTGTTATGAGTATTAAACAGTTATTTAAAGTATTTTTCAAATAAAACAACACAAATGTTTAAAAACAATAAAGGATAGCCAAAATATAAATGACAGACTCTTTGTAAGAACAAGCATCATTTCAAAGATTCACAACTTTGAATAAGTTAAGTTGAGGCAAACATAAGTCCTGTTGACTACCTTGGAATTTGAAGCATCATGATCAAACTTTTTTCGAGGTGGCAGTGGAGGAGGAATCAGTGGCTCTTCACTTAGTTTATGTAAACTACCACAGGAACTGAAGAAAGACTCTACAGGTAAGAAAGATCAAACACAATTCATGGTACTATTATAAGACATAACTATGTTTCAATCTGTGATGACCTCTGCTAAAGCATCTATCAGGTTGAACTGTAGCTTGGTACTAGTTTATCTATCCTCTCCACTAAATGTAAATTTCTACAGGGCAGTGTATATTTATTTTTGTATCCCTGGCACCTGGCACAGTGACAGTGCCTAGAATAGGGTACGAACTAGAGCTAAATGAGGACATACTATTTAATTAAGATTAAAATGAGATTCAGCTCCCTGAAAAAGCCTTTTTAAAATCTAAAACAGACAAAAATATATCTGTATAAACTGAAGTAACTTCCAGTGAAAGATCACCCATTTATCAGAGACCATGCATTTTTGAAGCAGCTAGTATCAGATACATTTCTACACATAAAACCTCCATATAAGAGGACTGTTAAGGTGGGGTTGTATCACATAACTCTCTCTCTTTGCAAGTCTCTCACTGATAATGCACATGTTATATAACCACATTAAAGGAAATGTAAAAAATAATAATACCATGCATTTTTGAAGCAGCTAGTATCAGATACATTTCTACACATAAAACCTCCATATAAGAGGACTGTTAAGGTGGGGTTGTATCACATAACTCTCTCTCTTTGCAAGTCTCTCACTGATAATGCACATGTTATATAACCACATTAAAGGAAATGTAAAAAATAATAAGGGTGTACTAGGGGAGAAATTACCCCTAAATATGCCAACCAGACATAGAATAAGAACTACTTTCATTTCATTCATCTTCTTCATATGATTAAAAAAGACCTGTAATTACGGACCAACTCCCTATTTGATCTCTCTCTCCACACACTACCTTTATAAAGGTAGTGACCATGTCTTGTTCATCATTGTACTGAGATTGGGTTCACAAGAGCTAGCTGGGAAAGAAACTGATGAGTTTAATTCTAAACACACTGTGAACTATTTATGGGATTTCCAAGTAAAGATATCAAACTCATTACTCCATGTCAAAAATCGCTATCCTGAACCTGTCACTCTGCAGTCACCTCAAGGAGTGTTTGCCTCAGAGCACCAATAGTATAAACAAAAAGTATGTCTATGGGTGTTGGCAGATGGTATAGGAACGTTAGGCACAGTACTATGTGCTGCGGATATGTTGCTTTTGCCTGCCTAAGCTTCTTTTGCCGTGTCTTTGGGAGAACTCCTCTTGGTGATGATGAATCCATCCTATGTGGCTTAATCAGCCAATTCTGCCCAGTGCCCCAATTCCAGTCAAGAAGTGGGCATGAAATGAGCACCTTCTCACCTTCTTAACATGGCCAGATTTTTATCTACATCTCTTTCATGCATGCAGCCATGTGCTTCAGAGAAAGCTAACTTCAGCCCTTATCTCCAGAGATGGGCCTGATCTGGTTAGACCAAGTCAACCAGAGTAATCCCATTCCTTCAGCCAGAGTGATCAGTTTAGCTGTAGGCATATGACCTAATTCACACAAGTGAAATCTGAAAGATCTGCAGAGGCTACTGAAAAGGAAGTTCCTTGTTCTCTTGGAAAAGCATTGGATCAATCTGTCTGTGTACCTCTCTTTCTTTCTTGCTTAACTGAACAAAAAAGCATATAACCTCTACTGTGTCTGCCACCATAATTATGACCTGGAGGGAAAACAGCCTTAGATAAACTTCTAAACAGCAAGTAGGAAAGCAAGATAAAATGGGAAAATGCCTTCAATATTCCAAGTGAAAATTATTTAAAATTCTATATCCAGCCAAAATTTTAACAATAAAATGTATAAATATTACAGAAATGGAAGAACTTAAAAACTTTAATATCCTACATATCCTTTCTCAGGTAGCTACTAGAGGATGTGCCCCTTCCAAAACAAGGAAGCATATCAAGAAAGAAGACAAGGAATCCAAAAAATAAGGATCCAGCATAGAAGAAAGGTGAAGGAATTTCTAGGATGACAACAAAAGAATGTTCTAGGATGGCAACCAGTCCAAACTGGAGGAGGACAAAAGGGCACGAGGAAGGAAGTTACCAAGTTAAAAAGCAAATAATATCTCAATAGCTTCCTTGAATGGTCTGACCTTATGGAAAACTGCTGTGAAAGAGCACAGGAAAGCAAAAGACCTAAGCATTAATGAGATTATTATTAACTTCAGAGACTAGAGCTAGCTGTACAAGAAAGGAAGCATAATCATAGTATATACTACCTGACTTAACAGTGAATAATATTCTCCCCAAATGTGGTAAGTATATTAGGCAGAGTAAAGGGTGAAAAT